TTAGAGTTGTTCCGCTAAAACGAATTTGGTACTTTTAATGCGCAAAATTCAACATCTCCTGTCGCATGTCACGCGAACTTCAGGCATATATTTGTTTCACAAATTTGGGCGGAGCCAACGCCAAAACTTTTTTGGCATGCTCCCTCTTAAATGAAAATGAAATTATGACATATACTTGTGACCATTAACAACAGACATTGAAACTTCAAACTTTTCGACGTACAAAATTTATTCCAGCTTTGAAGTTTCTATTTAAGCTGGTCTGAGAAATCGATGTCACAAACACACCGCCGGACGAGCGTCACATTAAACTAAGTATTAAACAATAAGGATTAAACTTGGTTTTTAAACAGTGTTCAAAAGGTGGTTCCAGGATTTTGGAAACACAGTGATGACAAAGATACATTTAAATGACAAAGGCAGCCTTTGATTTTGGTTTTAATAAATTTGACTGTCTGGACTATGGTACTTCAGTTTTTAGTTTTCCTATCCATAGCAGGTTGCAGTTCCACTCAGAGCTTTTAATCGCAAAGATCTAAGGGGCACTGCTACTGTGCCCGTTACCCTAAGACGAGACCCATGTGCCTGTAATTTCACTAGGACCTTTACCCTTCGAAACCGGAACGCAATAATGCTCACAATACTGCATGGCGGCTTAAATCGGTAAGGTGGCAGCATTTCCCTGGATGAACTCTTTAACAAGGAACTATACTACTATTGAAAGCTAGGAGAAGTGGGTAGGAGTGCAGTGGTGAGTAAATAAGTGTCGTTACTCGTATGTAATTCAGTGCGTTGAAACATAGCGTTTTGTGGCAACGGAACATACCGACACCGCCCGTGTGGCATCGCACTAATGCGGTTTTCACAACGCAAAAATGGTCACTAAAGTACCCGTAAAAAATGAATTGAATGCGATTGTTGAATAGTTATTTGTGTTGGTTTAAAAAATCTATTTCACGTTAATGTAATAATGAAATACATATGGAAGCGTCCGACTGTTATTTAATTTCCGTATGAATATAGAAATACTCGCGTAAACAGAATAATTCTGTAAACTTGAAAATACATCGCACAAAATCGCGTAACAGCCATGAATATTCATGCTCCGCCAATATTTACTCCGCGACGCTATTATGTTTTCCAACAAGTGTATATTTTTATTGAAGTCCCGTGCAATATTTGCTGGATATCGACTTGATTTTTATTTCACATGTTGTATAAAGGCTTACAAAGATGTCCTTTCGAAAAACAAAGTTAAAATAACGAAGAACTGAATACATGAATGAATGAACGTTACTAAAAAGCATTAGCCCCTTTTACACAGTCACTCTATCGCGCGTAATCAGGAGCGTACAGGTTTGCGCACGAGAAAGCCTCCACGCACAATGGTGCGCTATTACCTGTTTGAAGTTTTATGAACTAATGACGTCCTTTCGTGCGCGATTGTTCGTTTTTATTGCAACGGAAAGAGCGTCCGTGTAAAAACTAATTGCGCTGAATAGACCGCGTGAAACTGGTGCATGTTGGAGTGCGCGATTGCGCGTGCGACTGATGAGTGCAATCGCGCTGTCTTTCCCCTTTCTTTCCAACATCTTTACACGCGCGCTCAATCGCGCAGTATAGAGTGTCTGTGTAAAGCCCGCAAGTTGTGAGAGCGGTGCTGGCGCTGGTGGAGTTCTGTAGACTGTTCAGTAGGATTGTAATATAGCCAGGACAGTAGTAGTAGCCTCCGCAGCCTCTTACTTAGTAGTTTAAAGTTCAAAATTCAAAAGGGTAAAGCACTAATGGTAAAAAATCCAGTTTTATAAATATTTGTTCCGGTTTTAACAATATTTATGATCTTTAAAAATGTTTATCGCACAAGAGATTTCTTTTAACTGGTAATCGTCTCAAAAAAAAATAAGAAGAGAAGACATGTTCGCTACCACGATGGGACAGGGAGTGAGGATGGTACGAAACAAAATCAGAAAGCGAGGCAAAAGAACTATGGACAATTCAAAATTTAAATTTAAATACGAGTGGCCAGGAACCGGAGAAAAGCGATAAAAAAGTGGGATGACGATGTAAGGAGATCACAACGTCACAAAGTGAGTGGCTGTGGTCCGGTGTTATGAAATTATATGATTTGTTGTGGAAAATATGTATACCAATACCTGAAACTACTATCAGTGTATAGGTACAATACTGAATATTATATGAATGATAGTTGATAATAACCTCTATTAAGTGCTATATTATGTGTACGAGCAGTACATTAAATATGTCATAAATTAACCTAAATATGTTGCTGATCGTGCGCATTGTCCTGTTTATATTTCATGTCACACGTGTTTTTCTAGTACAATAAAGATCTTCGGGCATTACGGTGCCTTACATATTTTACATCAATCTACCTCAACCGAACAGTGTACTCTGGGAAACATATAAATCCCATCAACATATGTACATTACAAGGAACATTCTACATTTACATACATTGGGGTACGAGCATTAATAATATTATTTTTTGAACCAGATAGTGTTATAACGTATTACACTGTTACGTCATACAAATTTGTTGTCTCCTTCAAATCGTCTTTTAAGAATTTTTTATTATTTATCGCTGTGACAACAGTGGCAGTCGTGCTGTGCCCACGTCCCATTTTACTACTGACCTTAATATCCCGGTCACAAACATATGAGAACATATTGCGCATACAATACATGCCCAATCAGTGTCTCTACTACTTTTTAGTTTACTGTGACAGTTGTCGCTAGCGACAGTCTAAATTACTTCACAATATTGTATGGCAAATTATACAGCACTCCTAAGGCTCAACTCACACTGGCGCAGAGTGGAAGCGTCGCGACGCGTCATGTTTTTCGCCTATAACATGTTCATCTCTATTTTCCCATAATTAAGATACAAATTTGTGTTTTGCAAATATGAAATTGAGCATCGTCGCGCGTCGCCAGGCGTTGTAGTTGAAAAACAGGACGCGACGCGACGCTTCGACTCTGCACCAGTATGAGGTGAGCCTAACGATCACAAGAAGAAACAACATTTTGTATACAAACATATTTCGCGGTCCCTAGCAGTAACTGATTAGTGTAATCTCATGGTCGAGGCAGTTTTGATTTTATTATATCCCACCTATTCTATACTATACTAGCATTTTTTACTTTTGATTTGCACTTAGTTTTTATTTACGCCTAGTAAAGATTGTTTTATTTTTTCCTTTGTCAATTTTACTTGTACGAAACGACATCATCCTTATTATTTATTCAGCTTCAATGAAAACCAGTGTAACGAGATATTTTGCCACGTATCGTTGCAAAAGGATGAGTGGAGACCATTTTGGTATGTTTTAAATTATAATTCCTGTATTTTGTTTGATTTTAAGGTTATATTATTTTTTGTTATCATTTTGTCATACATATTTTGTGAAAAGTTTATAAAATAAACAATTTTTTATCTTTCAAACAATACAAGCAACATCTCTTAACGTTGTAGAAAAACCATGATTATTCACAAAGTTCCTTAATAATTTTACATCAACTGTAGTTTTATTAACAGGTATAATCATAAATAAAAATATAAGCATAAAAAGAAATACTATATATTTAAGTATGTCCTGTTAGCGCTTATTTCGACATCATGGATGTTAGCCGCTTATTGATTAAAAAAAGAAGTAAAATATTCGAATAAACAAAATATTAATTCTATTTTTAAAGTAATATTGTGACTACATTCTCTAATAATATAAATATTTTTTATAAAAAAAACCGACATCAAAAGTTCGCTTATCGGCTTTTTATTGGTTATTGGTATTACATCTATTTGTCAAGTTTTATTAGAATCGTTTAACGGAAAGTGCGCAAAACAGGATTCATCCCCTAATTTGCCATTATGAGTGGAATATTTTCTCCAAATTTAAATTGGACCAATACTGAGGTACCCACTTTCCAACAAAAAAGAATCATCAAAATCGGTTCACAAATACCGGAGCAATTGCGTAACATACATACACAAAAAAAGTCGAATTGAGAACCTCTGCCTTTGTAAAGGTTAAAAACCGTAAAAAACGCAACCTTTACTACTAAATGGAGTAAATTTTACTATCCGTCTTCAATATTTTCTATATCTTAGGAGATCTACTTCACCTACCCTTCTATTAAATTTTCTTTACTTGTCGAGGTAGATACAAAACAAATAATATAGCTAATATAGTTTTTGACTTAACCGTATACTTTTCAATTGCATTCGGTGTTGATCAATAAACAATATCGCTGCTTTCCAATTTCATTGACATATACCAAACTTGTTTATTATTGTACCTACTCATTTTTTTAATTTTTTTTTATACAGGCTGAAAATCAGAACATGCAAAACTTAACTTTTCTTATCGTGTTAAAGGCACCTTTGTAGTTGTGTGTGTCCATGGCACCTGGGGGTTTCCCTAGCGCAAGGCTATGAGTGTATACGCGTTGTTGTTACTATTTATAATATACACAAAATTGCTAGACATCGTGGTTAAAATATTCACCAATCGGGGTGTGCCAGAGATAGGAAAGGAATGGTTCAATTTTATTGTAAATATGTCGCCGAACTTTCCATTGATTAAAATGATTTTTACCCTTGGTGAAAAAATCATGTTCTAAGGTTTTCTTTTGTAAGTAACACCATTATCTTATGGGCTATAACTAATTAACTATTGAATTTCATTTTATTTCTTACGCTAAATAAAAGTTCAAAAGATATGTCTAAACGAAGAACACAATATGAGCCTTCAAATTTTGTTTATCCAATTTTTCAGAAATTTTTCCGGAAAAAATTCGACTATTTACAATTTTTCGGAAAATTACCAAACATATATCATATAATAAAGATTATAAGACGATCACATGATTCAGACATTCACGAGCTATCTCTGTACATAATAGTGTAGTCGTCATAACACCTATATCATGTTCTTACCATAAGTAATTTCTAAAATTACCAAAAAAAAAAAAATACTTACTTCCTTGTGCAGCAATCTGACGTGGAAACTGGCCACATCACTAACCGGTTCTCCGGCTTCAGTTACATAGTATACCAGGAGAGAACTAACTGGTGCCATATCTGCTGTAACCGGGAACCTGGAACAATAAGTTGTCATTATTTTAAGTTTTGTTGGAGTAACTGTATTTAATTTCCATTGATAATTATTCCTACAACACTTGAAATATAATACAATTAATAAAGGCGCACGAGATCACCGACATGTGGAATGTGGAGATTATTCCCATCTGATCCCCTAAACTGATCCACTGTAATTTTAAATCCCTACTGATCCCCTCTATATTTCGCTACTCCCAAGGGATCCCCTCATTGTATTTAAATTAATAAACATAGTTCTTCAAAACTGAATGTAGTTTGACTGCAGCATCTAAACGAGTCTTATATGAATAAAAAAATATAAATTGACACTTAGTGTGGTTAAAAATTCTTAAGTAAACAATTTACTAACTATGTAACAAAAAATTGTGGAATAATAAGCTTTCAAATTTTTTAAATTATTTTTTTTAGTTTGAAGTCTAATAAATTCTGGTAAGCTGTTTATTAGGCACAGAATACGTTTTTTTTGGTCCTATCTCCATAGTAGTTAGTGACTCTTGGGATTACAAAGTTACCAAAGGTCATCTACCTTGTATTAGAGTTGTTATCAAGCGTACACAACAAAGAGCTCGCTCCTTCTTAAATAACATAGCTTTGGGCGCTTTTGATCGGAAGGGAAACTAAGAAACCACAATCTCAGATTTCTGTGTCGTGTTTACTAACTTTTAATATCATTGAATTTAATTACATAATGTTTGAAATAAAATCAAACTTCGTTTGTATGAGTGCCCTCGCAAGTCTATTCTCTTAATTTTTAATAATTTTACATTCAGCATTTGTTTTCGTAATTTCGGATTTCGGGCTGGTCATATTGACTGGGTTCGTTAATGACCATTGTGCCAACAGGCCTCAATTCATTCATTTCACAATTCAATGCCCGATTTTCGAGGCGAGTATTAAAAAGACGACTATATTCTCTTGTTTTTATATTCGCTTTGTTTGGCCATTAATATTTCGGGTGGTATCACAAATACTCTTTGCGTTGTACACTTTATACTTGTCACATTTACAGTTTAAAATTATTTTAGAATAACCCATTTTTCCGTTTTTGTAATAAAATCAATATTACCTATGAAATAAAAAAGCATGCATCTAGCAAAACTTTGTTTTGAATAAAATTTTTGAAATTAATTCTGAAAATTTAAGGCCAAGTCAATTACCCAATACCACTGTCAACGTATATAATAAAATTATAAGTAAGGCGAGTCTGTGCTTTTAATAGTTTCAAGTAAAAGGTTATTATTGCCTCCTGAAGTCCCGGTACTAAAGCTATGCGTTTGTGCACGCTAATCTCTACAACGACCAAACCAATTTGGATTTAATTTTCAATCGTATATTCAAATAACCTTGGGTTAGCATTTAGTGTTTGTTTTATTTAAATCGATTGACAAACGAAATAGATATATCAAGTTTAAAGCGTGTAAATTCAAAGTGACGCATGTACAAGTTGGTAAGAAATACTTCCGCTGATTAAATAATTGAATATGTGAAAATAATGTAATACAAACATATTAGTCATAAGTAGAATTACATAAAAATCAGCGCATGATCTGACTAGCTTTTGTATTTAAGCCAGGGTTTTCTTTATGACAGTGTTTAGCGACACGCTTGTCCATAGCAGATGCAGTGCCATTCAGAGCTTTAAATCGCAGTAAGCAAGAGCAAGATTTGAGGGGCACTGCCACTGGGTCTGTCACCGTGAGGCATAAGTTGACAAATCTCATGTACCTGTAATTTCACCAACACCCTTCAAAACCTGAACGAAGTAATGCTGACAATTACTGTTTGGCTGCAGAAATAAGTAAGGTGGCTGTACTTCCTAGACGAACTCTTTCACAAGGAGCTCTACTGCTACTAACTAATAAAAATGAATAGAGAAATATAACCTACCAGCAAAGTTTCCTTTTTATATATTAATAGGATACGTAAAATCACGGCTAGTGATTAAAACATGAGAAAAGGAAAAGCAGAAACCGCTAGTCAAACGTAGAAAACAATGAGTTGGGTCAAACATTGGGTCGCCCTGAGGCATCGTGTCTGACAACGTCTCTCCTTGTACAGTTAAACTTATTCGTTAAGCAGGACAGCGGAAGCAGCTGCCAGCCTTTGTATATCTCCTTTGTTTAATTTCATACAACTACATGTTACGTAGGTCACTGACTTAGTCCGTATTAATTTCTCTATATGCTTGTTGTGGATATTTGTATTGATAAGTATTGTAAATTATGTGTTTAAAAATGTTTATTTACAAAGAGCAACCACTAAAGTTTTTTGCACATTCTTTTCAGGGAAATCTGCTTACGAATGAGCAGTAGAGTTAAATCAATATGAGGATTTCAAGTGTAATTTGCTTACCTGTGAAATAATAGTTATTAATTGTGCAAAGCTGCAAAGATGTTGTTTGATACGAGTACTTGTATGGAACCTGAGCAAGTGAAGGATTCTAAGATTGAAAAGATTCAAAAACAGAATTCTGAGCGTAGCGAGGGTTTGAAGACACGAGACGCAAAACAACTTTGTTGCCGAGTGAAATATACAACTTTTCACCTCACCAAAGCGAGGAAAATGGTAGATGAAAGAAAAACAGTTTAACTATACCATACTCGTTCAACTATAACAGTTTTATTCATTCGTACGTCAAAAAATAATTTAATAAACAAAATTAGTTATTATTGTCACTTTAATGTCAACAATAATAAGAATAAAATATACCAACGAATTTATATTACATAGATAATGTACAGCAAACATTGACTTACAAATAAATGGACGACGGGTCTAATACACAAACCACGAAAAAAATGTCGCAAATCAATCTATTTAAACGTAGTGACATGTAAAGGAATATGAAAAAGGTAAAACGTTAGATTTAAATTGTAATGTCATCGCAGTACTGTCTAGTTTTGCTGGCTTCGCTGTCAGTCGAAAAAACGAAGACTAAAGCGTGAGTGACGCTTTGCATACGATTTTAACGCCCTATAAGTTCGGACACTTTTTAGCGCGGACCCGACGCCCATATAATTGACAATGACAATGAAGTCAATGACAGCAAATCAGGTAGTTGAACGTGTCATTATATTTTTTTGATCCACGAAGCGATGTAAATATCATAAGTATATTAGATAAAATAAATAGATACCTTATTACGGACACTTTTTAGCGCGGACCCGACGCCCATATAATTGTAAGTCAATGACAGCAAATCACGTAGTTGAACGTGTCATTATATTTTTTTGATCCGCGAAGCGATGTAAATATCATATGTATATTAGATAAAATAAATTATTACTGACATTTCATAAAGAAGCAGTAAATTTTGTAAGAATTCGGGATGATTATATTATATACTAGTCTTGATGGTAGCAAACGCACAGCAAGCAAAACACTATACAATATATCATGACACATTGACACTCGACGATAATTCAGTACAATTTAGTACCCAATGTTATCGTTATCCCGGTGCTGATTGCTTACACACGCTCATTTTGGTGTTACAATTTGTGGGTGCCAATGATTTGCATTGTGTATACATTTATGTGCAAAGCTTTGTAGCTAGGTCAATGCTAATAAAGAATAAAATAAAACACAAATTTTAGTCCTTTGGAAAAAAACTTTAAAAAACTTAAAAATAGTAGTAATTTTGATAGCAATATTCAATGCTCAATATAACGGAACTTTACAACGTTGTTAAATTATTTTCGAATAAATCGTTTTTTAAATTTAACAGTATTAAAAATTTAACACAAATATTATCTTCAACATATATATATCCTGTTTTTAAATATTAATTGATTACAAAACATTAAAACAATTATTTACCATGAACAAAATTGGTTAAATCTATGGCAGCTTAAGTTGCTTTTCGAATGACGTCGGAGACGCAGACAGGGGTGGCGAGGGTAAAACAGAGGGTTGTTTCGAACGAACCTGCGGAAGGAAGCCGGAGTCCCCCTTCTCTGACAGACAGCGCCAGAACGTCTTCACGGCCAGTCCACGGCCCTTCTTCTGCGCCTTGCCGGATTTACAGGGAGTACCATACTCGAAAGCGGAAAACCTAAAGTCTTAAGGCACGTTACCACGACCCTTAATAAATCTAATATAATCTAATTTTTTTTAAATTGTAATTTCATTTTATTTACAATAGTTAATTCAATTTTCGGATTTCCTTGTTTAATTCTACCCTCATAGGGAAAATAAAACTAGTGAATCGAACCCGGTACAAGCCTTTTGGATAATATAATTATTAATACAAAGATCGTATACTTATAAAAAGTGTCTTCGATCCGGCTGAATTCGAACCAACGTCTTCCAGCAAACCGTGACAGACTCTATGCCAACTAAGCCACGCAAAGAACTAGCTTTACTAGAACTATTATTTTTACGACTTTTTTGCTGTAGCGCCATCTGTGAGAAATCTATGTTTTCACTCAGCCAGGTACCTAATAATTGAGTCTCCCTGAGCTCAGGAGTAATAAAGACTTACCCCCCGTAAAAAAAAATAAAAAATAAAAAACGGTATCTAATAATATCGTTTTGCATATTATCAATGGATGCGGCTAGCCCAGGGCCACGGTAGACGGCACCAAATTCGGCAGGCCTATACCCAGCAGTGAGTGAAATCAGGCTGTGTGTGTGTGTATGATGATGATGATGATGATGGAAATTTACCGAAGTCTTATAGCTAACCATACGGAAAATTGGTTTTTCTACATCAAGAAATACGATTTTAGATTGCAAGAAGGAAAGTTGCAGAAGTAATAATGATCCCGAAATCAAGTAAACCGCCTCATGACGTCACGTCTTACAGACCTATCCCATGATGTCAAAATTATTTGAAAAGCTTTTACTCAAGAGACTGAAACCAATTATATATGAAAATAAACATATACCAGATCACCAATTCGGTTTTAGAGAAAGTCACTCCACTATTGATCAAGTACATAGAATAATTAATACCATAGAACAGGCAATG